AAATATTTTTTTCACTTTAATCTTAATATTATTTATTTATTTTGATTAATTTTTTATCACAAAAAAATTTATTTTATCTTTTAACTTTTTTCATATGAAGAGGTAAAAAAAAATAGTTATTATAAGATAGAGGAAGTAGAATTATATTTAATTTATATAAAAGAAGGAAAAAGTAAAAATAAGACATATTAACATTAAAATTAACAGAATATTTAAGAATAATTACATAATAAATTTAATAAAATTAAAATTTACAATATATTTTACATATTTAATAATTATAATCATACATCACGACATTAAATACATAATGTATCAATATGTCCTTTTTTTTCATATAATTATATTTACAACAGTCAAATTTAAAATAATACAAGAAATTAAATCGAATGTACATATCATACTAATAACAAAATCCACATGCAGACCGGAACAGTATTGTCAATTGTGCTCTAGCTCAAAAAATATAATAATTTCAGAAATCCCTCTACGCTAATCTCCTGTGCATTGTGCATGCACAACTCCTCTGAGCAATATGGGATTTTCTAGGCTTCTAATAATTCGGAAAACAGAAACAAAACCCTAATAAATCAAAACAACTGCGGTAGGTGTTAACCCCATGCCAAAATAGTTATATAGAAAAGAAACAAGTTCAATGCCCAAGAGCTTACATATGTCCAAATACAAAGATGGGAACAAACAAATTTGTCTCATTTGTTTTTGACACCAAGGTTAGAAATAAAGTAAAAGAATCCTAGCGATGAAGTTCCAATAGCCTCTGCAATGACTATTTTCCTCTCCTGTGTTTTGATAAGCTGGAATCTGACGCGGAAAGGTAGAGTATCCACCTGGGAATTTCTAGAACACCAGATCTTGACCTCGGACTTTTTGGATTACTGTAGAGTGATTTCAATCCAATAACAAGTGTCAGAACTACTGCTGAAGATGCCTATTCTGAAATTTTGCCCCTCCTCTCAGGTACATGTTATCCAAAGAATGACTCGAGGAAGCACCCTCAGTACGAGCAAAGCTGCTGCTTTTGTCATCTTTGTTAGAGACTGAATTCTTATATTGTATCCTTATGCTGCTTACAGTTACTGAGTATCCTTTTTTACTCAGATCCCTTGGCAACTTTCTGAGTTTTAAACATTCTGTTAAAGGACCATTCTTGTTGCACTTCTTTGGGGTGTTGAATTTATTATCAGTATTGCCTGAATTGGAAATAACCAGCTCATCAAATTTGGTTTGTAAAGGGCTGGTATATAACTCAAAGGGTCCTATAGGAACACCTCTTTCCTTGCCAGCCATTATAAAGGAGAAATTCAATGTGAAAATTTATACAACCTGCTTGGTGATACCCGAAAGAAATCAACTCAAGTCCGTTTAGTTTGTTAAAAAAAAATAACAAATCCTTTTATTTTTCTTAAGTATGCCACCACAGTGCCCATTTCCTTACCAAAATCTGGAACAACGTCCACAAAATCATACAGATACAGTGGTTGATGCTTTCTGCATCAGAATTCCACTTGATATCCCTAGCCTTGAATAGGGTCCAAGTTTCCCCCTTCCTAGGATATATCACATAAGAACTCCTACCACATCGTATTACAAAATCAACCTGATGAGAGAACACTAGGCCAGCAGTAGTTTCTCCTAAGGATCCATTGCTGTACTTGCCACAAGAAACAGGCACCTTACTTCGTTTGGTAAATTATAGCCCATACTTTATCAACAGCAAAACAGTTCTCTGCCAGTCATTCTCAGAAACACCAAAATTGGTATCGTGCCATTCAGTCATAATTGACACTAGTTTTTTCAATATCCACATCATCATTGTTACCTGCACTGCTAGTCTCTAAACTTTCACTGGATTGCTCTGACAATTCCCTGCCTCTCTTCCTGTTGACATTTCTTCTAGTACCTGATTGCCCAGGCCTTGCTGCATTAGACGTAGACTCTTCAACACCATTCCCCCCAGCCCCTTTCATTTTTGTTTTAGATCCCAAACAAACCTCAGAAGCATTTGTTTCCTTGTGCATAGGATCTGATCCTGAAAATCTATGTGGAACCTCTTTCTCGTTAGGAAACTGACTCCAACAGAATCCTGGTGACACACCTTGAAGACCCAGATCATGGGCAATAAAGGAAGCTTTGCAATTCTGACACTTCAACAATTCATCAACGTAAGCTTTGGGGTATTCAAACATGAAACCGCAAGCAGTGCAATAGGTCCAGAAAGATGGTTGTTGTGTCTGCTGTTGAGTATTAGAAGCTACAAATGGAGAAGAAACATTTGGGAAACAATACAGATTTTTAACATGGAATGTCCTACTTGATTGATTATCAGGTGGCTTTGCAGCATTAGACTGAGACTTTTCAACACCATTCCTCTCGGACCCTGCATATGAATGTCCAACTTTCTTTTCTGTTGTAGATGCCTGACAAACATCAGAAGCATTCTTTTTCTTGGGCATAGGATCTGATGCTGCAAATCTACATGGAACCTCTTTCTTATATGAAAACTGATTCAAAGAGAATCCTGGCAACAAGACTTGAGGACCCAGATCACGGGCAATAAAGGAAGCTTTGCAATTCTGACACCGCAACAATTTATCCATATAAGCTTTCAAGTATTGGTATCTGAAACCACAGGCAGTGCAATAGGTCCAGAAAGATGGTTTAACCTGCTGGTGAATGTTAGAAGCCATGAATGGTGAAGAAACATTAGGGAAACCATTCTGATTTTTACGATGGGGAGTCCTACTTGATTGATTAGTGGGTGGCTTTGCTGCAGCTCTCTTTGATTGATTAGAAGGAGGCTTTGGTGCAGCTCTTTTTGATTGATCATTAAATGGTGGCTTTGTTGGCACTTTCATCTGGGCTCTGCACTTCATGTCATATTGAGAACGTTTTGTCTGGTCTGTAAGAACCCTATTTGCTTCACCAATAAGCTTAAAAGCAGCTTCTGCACCAGCAAACTTATTCTTATCAGGATGAAGTAATAGTGCAAGCTTTCTGTACTGTTTCCTGACAGTATTCTCATCACAAAATTGTTCAATCTGAAGAATCCCATACCAATCCATTTCAGATCCACTTAGATTGTTTTTTGCAGAGCAGTGAACTTGGCATACTGTCAAGATCTGTGAAATATTCTCAAGCTCGGGGAACAGCCTCTGGGCCTTCAATGCAATCCTCAGTGCCCCCTCATGATCCCCATTACCCATTCTCTGTTCCGCTATTATCTTTGCTCTGATAGCCTCCTCCTTGTTACACTCCATCCGTGATAGAAATCCAAAGACTAAACACTCAGATTTCCTCTACCTACTTCTTGTCTGACTATTATCTGAAATCTTCAACCTGTATCAGTATTATCAAAACAACTCAGATACAGTCACCAATTCTCCATTTGGAACTTCAAACAACAGAAAAAAATTAAACCAAAAAAAAACACTCATTATTCTGGCAAGTGGTAACTACCATCAGAAGATCTCCAAAGTTGAAACGACCAGTAAGAGAAGGCACGACTAAAAGTTCCTACAAGTCCGACACTACACACCAATCTCAATGATCCGGGTGCCTTACATCAAAAATCTATATTTGAACCAAATTCAAGAAAAAAGAATGAGCTTCATTTACTAATTCCCAAAACAAATCACAGAATCGACAAATTACTCAAGTCATAATTCCAAGGGAACCAAACAACACATATAAAGGAGAAAGAAGCAATAGAATACAATTTTTTTTTTTTGGGCAGGAAACAAGGATGAATACAAAATTCAACATCAGTAAAAAGAGCTACAGGAGTTGCATCAGTCTGTTAAATTTTAAGCATAAACAAAGGCCGAACGGCATAGACATAATAAGCATCAAAAATTCTATTCAGTGATTGAAAGCACAAAAGGGCAAAATCAAAATTAAAATGCAAAACCTAACTAATTCCACCGCTATTGCAAGAAAATACCAATCTAGTTTTCTCATAATTGAGCCAAATCCACTTCAAAACAAAATAACGCCAACATCAGAACATCAAAATTCGTCTCTTTACGCGGATTAACCCAGAAACTTCAGCTAACATAGCAAAAACTAGACCCTTGATGAATATAGAACGCGATTGGAGAAAGAAAAGTCCATACCCACGAAAACCCAGATGCAGGATTGCGAGTAAACCACCACCAGACTATGAGCAACCGCGTAAAAATAAGAAGAACCCAGAAGAATCACATTCAGGGAAGCAATAACAGAGGGCGAAGTATTTCTTTTTTAGAGAGAAAGGGGGAAATTGTAGGCTGCAATGGAGGGTAGAGATGGCTGAAGATGAAAATGAACATGCAAAAGACAGGGAAAGAAAGAAAAGAGGGAAAATGGGAAATTTTTAGGTGGAAATGTGCAGTGGAAAAGAGGGATTGAAGGGGAAAGCCGCGGGGTTTTCTGAAAACTTTCGCAGAAATGTTGTCTGCTCCCAAATGTTTTTCTTTTATTTGTTGCAAGGGCTAGTCTGTTCTTTCTGCGTGGGATCGAACTTTACACCAATTTATAATGTTTAATGTGATTAATTAAAATTTTGAAAAAAATAATTTTTGAATTTATACTAATAAAAAAAATATAATATAATTTAAATTATATTAGAGTATATTATATTAATCACTAAATAAAGATGAATTCTTAATATTAATATTAAAGTTATATCTCTATATAATAATTTTTTATAATTTAAATTATAAAACCAGATTTCTTTATACTAAATTAGTAAAACGAACAGACAGACTAGCTTTGTATAAAATTACCAAGATGGCTTCAAAGAGACGGTGGGTTTAATTTTTTGGTATATCGTTGCAAAAAAAATGCTTTCAAACCTTTCTAGAACTCTTCCACCACCACTTTTTCTTCACAATTATGAAGCCATCGTCTCCATGCCAATCTCCATTTCCAAAAACCAGCTACCCTCTTATATCTAGAGGTGGCAAAATTTCAACTAACTCATTAACTCGATCCCAACTCATAAATAATGGGTTAAGGTTAATTATTATTGGATTTATAATTTATTTGGATCAACTTAAACAAGTTAGTAGTCATATATGTAAGTTAACTTATGTGTTCAAGAGTATCCATTTGATTTATTTGTTTCTAAAACTCTTAAAAATATTTTTATTAGGTAATTTTTTAAGTTGAAATAACTTATAAATCTATTTTTGAAGAAATTTAATATGATATTAGAATTTAAAAAACTAAATTATAATGCACCATTTTCCAACAAATTAGGCCAAAAACTATATTTGTTACTAAAAAATATATTCATGATCAATCTAATGAATATATTTTGCAATATTGAATATAATTATCTAATATAGTTTAAAATAAATAACTTAAATGAATATATATTTTTTAAGTAAGGTTTTTTGTTTGGTTAAAAGATAAATTTTAAGGTGCATCATTTTCCTTTTATAACTGATGTCAATTCTTAATTTATGATGGCAATTCTTGTTTGTTTAAGAAATAACTTGTGTTAAATTGTATTATATTAATTATGGATTTATGTAAGTCACTACTAAAAAAAAACTTTATTTTAGACTGAATATTTTGAACAAGAAATTATCTTGACAGAAAAGAAACTTATCTTGACAGAAAAGAAACTTAATTCAGTCAAGCATTTTGACCAAAATACTCTTTAGTCTAATTAACAGGTATTTAACATAATAATTCGGTCTAAAATTTTTTCAATCAAACATATGGACCAAAATAAAAGAGTGTCAATTGCTACGATCATTAATTCGATCAAATATTTTATCTGAATTATATTAATAATAAAATAGTAAGTATTTCGATTATAAATTTTGACCAAATTAATTAAGTAATTTTTGTTTTAATTTAATTATGTTTTTCAGTCAAAAATTTTGACCAAAATAATTGTCTCCTTTTTTTTTTTCAATTGCATTAGTATGGCTTATTCTTTTCTAAAATTTGTTAATTTTCGATGAAACTATTTCGAATAAGATGCTTGATCACAATAATTGTCTCCATTTTTTTTTAATTACATTAGTATGGTGCTTTCTTTCTTATATATATATGAATTTTCTATGAAACTATTTCAAATAAGATACTTGATTGAAATAACAACTTTAAAAAAAAAAAAATGGTATTAGTATAGCACTTTTTCTCCTAACTTTTTTTTAAAATTTTTTATGGAACTATTTGAGCAAGATGCTTTACCAAAATTGTATTGTTTGGCTCTAAGAATTAAGTGAAAATTCTTGAATTTTTTACCAAAATTATTTTGTTCAAAATTCTTATTTGAAATTAGATGTTTTGGCTCCACAAATCAAGTGAAATATTTTAAATTTTTCACCAAAACTATTACGATCAAAACTATTATCTGAAATTAGATTATTTTTTTTTGCTCTAAAATCATGTGAAATATACTAAAATGGTTTCGGTCAAAATTCTTAACCAAAATAATTTAACCTCTACAAAAACATTTCAAGCATTTTGAACTGCATTTTACCGATTTCATTCTTCTTTCTTACTACTTTTCCATTCAGTCCACCTTCCACACTCATGTTTTTCATCTTTCTCTTCCTTTTAATTACTTCCCCTCCTCATTTCCCTTTACTTCCATCATTTTCTTTCATTTCTTCCTTTTTCTCATCTTCTCTTTTCTTCACTTCCCCATTTTTTCATTCCCCTCATCCTCTCTTCCATTTTCTCACATTCTCTTTTCCTCATACATTCCTTCCTTTAGTTTCATCTCCTTTAATTTCTTTCATTTTCTATCTTCCTTTAATTTTAATCTTATTAGTTTATTTTTTTTTTACAATTTACAAGTTTGTTTCAATTAAAGTTGATATCAATTTTATTTTTTTTTTCAGGATTTTATAATAGAAATTAAAGGCATTTTAAGAAGGCATCTCATTTGGTACTTTTATTTATTTTTTTTATTTCATTAAAATTTTATAATTTTTTCTTTTTCATTAAGATTCCCATTTAGTTTGTAATTTGTGATAAACTCTTTCTTGGTGTTAAGTGATGGAGAAATTTAAAAAAAAAAAAAAAGAGTTAGTAATCAACTCTCCACAATTTAGCTTAAATTTAAATATTTTTATAGAATTTTTATTTTTGTTATATAATATCCAATTTAAAATTTTGATATATTTGGATTTGGATAAAATAAATAGGTTTTTAAATATTAATTAAATGTATTTTGTAATTATATAAAAATAGTAATTATATGCATACTATAATTACACAAATATATTAATTTTTTTGAATTTGAAAATAATATTTCGGTCAAATATTTTGACCGAATTAGTCTAAAATAAAAGATTTAGTAATAGCATTTTTGATCAAATTTTTGGCTGAAATTATCTAATATTTTCGGTTAAGATAAAATTTTGTTCAAATTTTTATTTCATAGTAGATATTTGTATCAACAATTCCGTTAAGTAATTTAACCGAATTACTCCTTGTTCGATCAAAATTCCTACTTATTTGTAAATAAACCCCTATTTCAAGTAGTGAGTGTTCTTTTCTAAATAAGATTTTTTTTTTTTTTTGAAAAAAATTGAGACAAATATGATAATTGAGATTTAAAAATATACTTATTTCATAATATTTAGTTCAAAATTACTATAATTTAATTTTGATAAATCAATATAAAAAACGTGACTAATTATATAAAAGAACTAAAAAAAGAAAAAAAAAAAAAAAACTTCAACTCATGAGTCAACCCATGACTTACTAAGATTGGGTTAATGTTAATATTTATTAACTTACAACCCTTATATAACCTAACTCATAGAACCCATGACTCGAGTAAACCCAATCCAAATCAGACCCAAACCGGCCATTTGCCGCCTCTACCTATATCACTCGCTTTTCTTCCCTCAACTATAGGAAAATAAAATGGATGGGTGGGCTTTGATTCAAAATAAGGTATCCACTAGTCAAGCTTATTTGAATCAATGCCAAGCGAAAGCATAAACTTAGACACAAACTTATAATCAGAAACTTTGTCTAGAATTCAAGTTTTTTATGTATTTTTGGCGATGTTGCGGATCAAAATTCTGTTTTTTAGGAATATTCACTGTTTATTTGATTTCAAATCTAAGTTT